CAATAGATTAAATTTAAAGCAGGATATGTAGAGAAAATTTGTTTAGGAAAATCGAAACTTGAATTATATTCAACTTATCAAATATACAGGGTCATTCACATAAGGTAGCAAATAATTTCAGGCATGATTCTTTAATTAATTGCCAGTGAAATATTTCATGGTTGGGGAATGCAGGTATGCCCGTTTTCGAGTTGCAGTCTGATGAAAAAAAAGGTTGTGGATTTTTCCTGCAAATTCTTATAAATACGGAGCCATGCGACATAGAATAACCATCTTGGTAATAAAATTTGCGTTTAAAATTCTAACAAAGATCTACAATTGGTAGTACGTTTTTGTTGTTTGCTACAATCAGCATTCAGTTTTTAATGGTAAAATTGCAAAAGATGTTCTGTCAAATCGATAGCATAAAATTTTTTTTTCTGTTTTTATATTCATATGCTTAATTAGTAGAGAATGTCGAAAAATTATAGGAAGACGTTATTGACATTACACTAGGGTTTTTTGTTGGCAACGATACTTTAGTATAGTTCTATTGCAGTGCAGCGTAATTTTAACTAATAAGATCTCTCGAAGTTAGAACTGCAAACGGTTTTTTTTTTTGCATTCTCAAATATAATAAAATTTACTTTAGAAATTTCATCAAAATTTTGAATCTTGAATGTTGCAAATCAAATCCTTTCTAGCTCATTTTTTTTTGTCAAATGAACATTTTGAGTCGAAACTGAAGATACTCGTAGCAAGCAATTTCTAAATTTTATAATTAAAAGATTTACACTTAATTATCATTATCCCATAGTGTTCAAGAATGAAAGCCTCTTTTTCATATAGTTAAACTGAAATAAACATATTATGTATGTATGTGTAGGATCTAGAATAACACAGTATACCTATGTAAGTATAACAATTTGACCAGCTAAAAAGATCGTCGTAACATTTAAAATAAATGAACATGAAAATGTAGAAACATAATTATATTTACATATATATTATACATATATACATAAGTATGTATGTACAGTATAGGAAGACCATAAAAACAGAAATAAAATTTTAGCGATCGCGAAAATACTTAAGTGGCAGGTAAACGTCTTAAAAAAATTTTAAATTATTTCTGTTAAAGTTTTGCTACTGTAGATTTTTATTGTTATTTAAGAAAAAAATTTTTTTTTTTTTTTTTATTACAAGTTATTTTTTAATCGTTTTCTGCGGCTAAAAGTGTTTTTTGCTTTTTGTTATTTTTTTTTTAATCCTATATTTTTTTACTTTTTTTTTTTTAATATTTTCTTGAATGGATTATAAAAACCCTTTAAATAAAATTTTTATTTTCTGTATGTGGAGATTTTTTTTTTGTTTTATTTTAAATTTAAAAATGAAAACAAATTGCTTTCAGGAAATTGGTTTTTTTCTCTCCTTCAAGATAATTGGTTCACCAAATTTGGATTTACAGATTTACTATGTCTTTATATCAGAGTTGCCGTTTGATATATTGGAAGCGGGGTTTTTTAATTAATTAAAGTAGGAGTATTTCCAGAGAGATAGTCATACAGACTCTAAACCCAAAAATAAAATTACAGAAATTTATTTCGTTAATTTGCAAGTTATTTAGCAATTAATCGAGGAATAAAATTAAAATCAACAACAACAAGAAAAGTATGCGGTGTATAAAATAATGTATCTCCAGTTTGTTAGTTTGTCAGGAAAATTTATGCATTTGCAAGAAAATTTTAGACAATATTCAATGTTGTTTAGTATGCATCACATAAAAATTTGATGTTTTCTAAAATAAGCGTTCACTAATAATATTAACTTGGTTTTTAAAACAAATGCCACGTTATCTGCTACAGCTCTTTTGCTAAAAGATCTTCTAACTTTTACAAGGCAATTAGCAAAATATTTTGTGTTATATACGAAATAATAAAAAGGGAACACTTGATATATAAAATGCAATTTGAGTCCACAAAAGAATAATGCACAAAATTAGAGTAAAAATACTACGATCGGATTTTGAAGGCAGTCCTAATTTTTATGTATGTACAGAAAGCTATATATTTTGTGTAGAGGCGCAACAGTCAGACTATTAAAAAATTTTGTTATAATATTATATGAGATTTTTAATTAACAAAAAAAAAAAAATAGTACGAACATAGATACAAGATCATATAATTACATTATTAGTTTGAGAAACTTGGTTGATTTTTAAATTTAAAAATTAAGATAGGAAATTTCTGTATAAAGGGAAGCAATTTTTTCTATATTACTTGCATATTATAAAATTTTTAATTGAAAAGAAACTTTTAATTCTTAAATAGACTAAAATGTAAGCTTAAGTAAGAAGTGCCTGGGTAGTTCTAGTAATTGAACAACACTAAATATTAATCCTATAATTAGGTACAGGGTGTTAAATATCACCTTGCATTTGAAGTGTATTAGAAATCTTATTGGAAATTAGTCCTGTTTTTCTTAACAAATTCACAGATTGTTGCCGTTTGTAAAAGGAAAATTGTTTTTTTAAGTTAAAAGTTTAAAAGAGTCAAAGAGGTTGATAAGGTATTGTCACCACAATCAGAAATCTATATGATAAACAGTAAATAAACATGATGTACAGAATGTCTTATATCTGCTGTTAAGTGCACTGCTATACATAATTATGTGCAATGTTATGTCACATGAAAAATTAAGATTTTTTTTTTAAAATGAAAAATTACTTTAAAGTCATAAGGATTCCGAAATATGAGACTGGTATAAGTAATATAGATATTCCTGAGAAAATCCTTGTTCTCAAGTTTCCAAATTATATGCAACCATACGATTATCTAATACGGAAAGAGAATCATGTTTACAATTTTCAAAAAGTAAAAGTCTTTGCAACTCACAATTAATTGAGTTGTGAAGATTTTCTCTATAGAAAAACAAAAATTGTAACAATTCCAAAAAAAAACCTATACAAATGTTATGTGGGACTGTCGACTTAGATACGAGACATTCTGTATAAATTTTTCAATAAATACGTATAATTAGTAATAAGCATGAAATTTCATTTGGAAGATGTTATAAAAAGATAAGTAGCTAGTATGAACAAAGTTTTTATTAAAAAAATAAAAATTAATTTAGATTTTCAATCATATTGGATGGAAAAATATTCTTAATGAAAATGAATGACTAATACCAGTGGAAATTGGAAAATTTTTTAATATTTTGTAAGAATTTTTGAATTTTTATCTTTTATAAGAAAATTATGATTCAAAATGGCAATGATATTTTCATTTAAATTTCACTTAATACTTGGAAAATTCATCCAAAAGCTTTTCAACAAAATTCAGTATATTGCATTTTGTTAATTTAGATCTTATAGATTAAATTTAGTTTAATTTAAATTTTTCGAGAAATATTGTGATATTTTAATTGGAAAATTAAAGTAAAAATGAACAATTTTCTATTGAAATTCATTTTAGATTAATTAGAATTTAAATGGAAATTTCATCTTATTCTTAATAGGATCTGATGTAACAGTAAATTTTAGAGTACTATAATATCAGAAAAAAGAAAATTTGTAATATTATATTCAATTCGGGATACAAGTTTTATATGACGTTCGTGAGTTTTCTTTAAATTCAAAATTCAGTTCTAGACTATGTTTTAAGGCTCTTCTTTTCAAATTCAAATTTTTAATACCAACTGTTCACCTTCATAGATTTTATTTATATTTTAATTAAATAACTTATTTTAAATTTAAATGATTTTAAATTGGAATCCAAAAATATTTATGAGAAAATCATACTTACTCTTCGTTTATATTTCGTTTCCGGTTATAAATTTCTTAATAAATTTCTTATTGGTCATCATAATTATTTACTGCGAAAGAGAAGAACCATTTAAACCTACCGTTCTATTTGCAAGATGCTGGAACTTTTAACCATCATCACTAATTATTGCTAACAACTTTGTCTTTTACTTTTATTCAGAAATCAGAATTAAAAATTACCCATGTAAAACATTTCGATTTTTCTTCTACGAATTTTATAATGTGGATATTTACTTATATGTGTGTGTATGTATATATTATATATATATATGTATATGAATATTAAATGACAGTCTAACATAATATAGCCTTCAAATTAACATAAAAAATTGCTGGTAATCTAATCGAGTGTCAGTTGAATAAGTTTATTTTTCTTTATAATTTGATGCCCCCTAGTATAATTTGAATTTCATCTCTATTTCTAATGATAAATTTTTGGGAAGTCCAATAATTACATGCGGAATCTTTAAAATTAACACAAAATTTAATTTAGTTTATTAACCAGTAACATCAAACAGGGCTTGTTTTATAGTGAAATAGTATACATGAAGATCAGAAAATTAATTTTACCGATTTTAATCATTAAGCCATAATATGCCTAAGAAATGATCGTAGACTTAAAATGAAATTTTGGGTTCAACTTTTAATTTTAAGCTTTATACGCTCTGCTGTTACAATTTAATGCGTTTATAGATACATTCGGTATGTGAAGATCATTGTTGAATGTATAAATTTTTAACCAAAGAGAATTTTTAAAAATATTCTGGAATTTTTTATAATATCAAGGTTTCATATTACTATATTAGTATTTTAAGTTGAAGTTATTTGAAAGAACAGGAAACAAATGAAAAAAGTGAACGGAAGAAAAATAAAAATTTTAATTTATTTTTTTGGTGAAGAAGAAAACAAATCTATGCGATTAAGGCAATTTATTACTTTGACACTATCTTTACGGTTTTCAATATTTTTCTTATACCTACTAAGTAACCAATAGAAATTTTTTGGGTTCTCTCTTTTGGGTTTCTTTCTTGATTCTTTCGATCTTCAAATTTGGCTAAAAATTGTAATAATTCCGAGCGTTCTCTATGCTTTGCGATTTTAAACACTTCTGTATTTTATTAACTAGTTTCTTTTTTGATATTGTAATTATATCAAGGATTAATTAAAATTTGAATTTGTTTTCTTTTATTAATTTTAGATAATCGACATTGATCCATTTTGGGTACCATCAACTGAAGAGGAATATATGCATTTTGGTGAAAAAGCTGATTCTGCAAATCGTGCACGTTTATACATGGATAGTGTTAGACGTCGCAAAGGACTTTTTGTTGAAGAAAAAATTGTGGAACAAGCTGAAAAACAAAGAACTTTATCTAAAAATAAATAAAATTTGTAAAACGACAGAAGAACTTTGTAAAAATGCTGCACAATAAAAATTGAATCAATTGTATTGTTAAAAATATTTGCATATGTATAGGAGTAGCTCATAAAAATTTTAAAAGTGACATCTATATTTCAATAGAACAATTAGGTGTAATTTTTTTTTTCTTAGTTTTTAAGTTTTTAATGGAAATATGGAAATTTGAATTTTAAAGTTAGGAAGCGATTTACGAAGTTTTGATTCTTGAGCAACTAAAGAGAATTTATTCCTAAAGATTAAAGAATATTTTATTATTAAAGTCAGGTACATAGCTCTAGTTTTGATAGTTTGAGATAGATTGTCTTAATTTGGAAAATGTTATCACCTCAGTAAAAAATAAGAATACAATTTTGATAATTTTTTTTTTAAAAAAATTTAATTTTTATAAAATTTCTATGAGATACATGTGCCTTGAGTAACAATTTTATGGAAATGTCGGAATAATTTTAAAACAAATTTTTCTTTTTTCTAAATTTTAACAATAACTAATTACAGTATTTCTAAATTTTAACAATGTCTTTTTGATGCCAAAATAATATTTTGTTAATTAGTTTCCTTGTATTTCATGTCTTTTAAATTTTAATATTATTACAATATTTTTGCATAAATTTGCAAATATTAAATCTTTCTATTTTGAATATCTTTTTCAGTTTCATTCTCTACGATAATATTGCTAACAGAATCTTTATCATCAGTTGGAGGATCCTCTTCTGTGACCACAATATTCTTATTTCCAAGTCTACATTGAACAATTCTAAAATAAAATATATAATTTAATTTTTATAAAACAATATTTTGTTAATACATTAATTTAAGCATGCTTACGTCATTAAACATATTGCTAAAACTAAACAACTAAAGCTTAAAAGAAAAATGCCGCCCATCCTTCCAACGGTTGCATTATAAACTTGTGTATAAAGTACACCACTTATAAATGGAATGGCATTATCGCAAACTATATTAAAAAAAAATTATTTTATTAACCATATTTCATTGTCAACCATTCAAGGAAAATGAATTGGATTGAATGCTTATAGATTTAAAAATTACCAGAAAGTAAAGCAAAAACTTTTCCTCTCTCTCTAATTGGTACCAATTTTGATGTAAATGCTCTTATTCCTGGTCCAGCTATTGGACCAAAAGCACATACTATACCACCCAAATAGAAAACGTATGGAACATTTGCAAAAAAATAAATGAGACGAGCCATTGCATAAAAAGTACAACCAAATAAAATTATAACCTAAATATGATTTTAATAATGTTTGATTAATAAAAAATATTTTTGTATTTTATTTTGCTATGAATTTAACTTACAGTATCTCTCCATTTTAGAACTTTATTCATTATTGGAACAGCTATCAGAAGAACGACTACATAAGCTGAAGATTGAAATGTTTTAAAATTACTGAATTGTTGGACGCCCCATTTAAATTTAAATTGTGTGTAAAGGAAAAGGTATGCTTTTTCATCTCTTACAAATGTATATAAACCCATTGTTATCATTATTATTATTAAAAATGATCGTCGATTTTGTGTTCTATGTTTCGTTAAAACTTTTATAGAATCAAAAACATGTTGTTTATCGAAAAAATCTGGTAGAAAACCACATGCATTTAATTCACTATAGGGTCTTTGTCGCGGATTCGTTTGCCACTAAAATAAAATTTATTAATAAATATAAAATAATTAAATAAAAATATTTAAAAAAAAAAAATAATTTTTCTTACTTTTAATGCCACAAATGTATAAATAATTGACACAATTAATAAACTGGCATTAATGGAAAACATCCATGTATAAGATTTATTTAAAACATTATTGAACATATATGAACCCAATGCAACTCCTGTTGGTACAGTTACTAAATAAACAACTTCTAAAATTGTAACACGAATAGTTCGATTTTCGGATGTTGAAACATCAGTAAGATATGCAAAACATGATGCAAAAATAGCTAAATCAGCACCAGTAAAGGCACAAGGCATTGTAGCAGTAAATATAACATATTCTAGTGGCCATGTAGCTAAAATTTAAATTGTAAAATTTTTGAATTATAAATTTATTACAAAACTAAAAATATTAATATATAAAATTAATGAGAAAATTACGTTGATTATCATTCACAATAATCATTAAAGAATAAATTAATTTTCCAAATAAACCGAATAATAATGGAAGTTTTCGTCCTCTTTTATCAGACCAAGCACCCAAAAATAATGCTAATATAATTGGAAAAATATGACCAGCGATACTATCTAATTGATGAAAATTGGAGGTTGTAACCTATAAATATAAATTTATTTTCAAATATGAATTCAATAAATTTTTATTAAATTTGAAAATATAAAAATTTTACTTGAACTTCTTTTGTAATATTTTCATAATCTTTTATATTGTCGCATATTTCAACTGTATAGTTGTGATTAACTAAACATGCTTTTCTAACAAAAAATGCTTGTTCAACTACCGTCGTAAACATAAAAGCAAACATATATAGAAACATTGTTGGTTCCACAGTAATTGAGTGTATCCATTCTTTAATTTTCTGAAAAAAAAATTATTAGAAACATAAATTATTATACATAATTATATTCAAAAATTTCAATAATATTATTTACATGAAATGAAATTCAAGAATAATCAAATTTTATGTTTTTGTTATATTTTGTGTATAACTAAAATTGTATTAATTTTAAATTAGAAATTTTTTAATATACGATTTGATAGCATTATCTAAGTCATAAATTTATAATCTTTGACATTTTATTCGGTTAAGCAATAATGTAACAATAATGTTAATGCTCAAATATTGACACTGACATGAATTTGATTGATTATTGAATCTGGAAATGACTTAAGGGAATGTTTTGTCAATCAATTTTGTCAATTATTAATTAATCAGTTAAAACTTTAATATTAATAGATGACAGATTTATTGATTGAGCTTATTATCGTAAAATATTGCAAAATATCGTAAAATTTCTACGACATCCAAATTGGATGTAAAACGCAAGCATTGATCAAAGTTTTATGATTCAATTTGTAAACTGAAGAATTTTGTAAATGTCAACTGATCCAAAATGTTTTATAATAATTAAGAATTTTGAAAATGTCAAATAAAAGCATCTTAAAATTTGAGTATACTTTAGTATTTTTGTAGTTTTACGTTAGAAAAATTTATAATATTGACGTTTTTGGATCAATTCTTAGATTACTTAAAAGTCTTGCAACAATATGCCAATTTCCTTCTATTTTGAAAAGTAATTTTCAAAGATTTAAGATTTCCTTAAAATGTGCTGTAACAAATTTAGAGCAGGAGACCTTATTTTTAATTTAATATTGTTAATAGTATTGGACGCGTTCGTTACTAAAAATAGTGCATGTAAGTTAATTTAATTAATGAACATAATATAGTAAATAGAATGCTTACGTATAGGACTAAGTATGAAATAATTTCTTAATTTAGCAACTAAACACAATTCTTTTCTGTTTTTAGCACAAATTTTTCGATTCTGAAGTCTCATATAAAGCAAAAATATGAAAAAATAATTTAGAATTTGAAATTTTCTTTTTATTTCTCTATGTCATTAAAAGAAAATTAATGGGGAATCTATAAAGTGAGTGTCATAATTTTATTATATGGCAATGTTATATAATTACGATATTGACATTTAACAATACTTTTTAAAATATTCTTACAAAATTCTTAATTTATTTAAATGTAAATCAAAACATTTTTGTTTCTACTTAATTAACAATTAATAAAAAATTTAACAAAAAAACAAAATTCTTATCACAATTTTTATAAATATTTAAAAATTTCAAGATTTCATTCCATATTTGAACACTTTAAAAATAATTTGCATTTTTGCAACATTAAACCTAAAAAATATTATAAATTTTCTTTGAAAATCTATTCAGGTTTTTGTATTCAATTCCTTATTGGTTTTAGGTGAATTTCCTGAAACTAAACTTGCTACTGATTCACTCTTGTTATCTAAAATCTCTTCAGTAATTATAATTGGATCATGGCCGAGCTTAAAATGAATTATCCTAAAAATAATTTAAATAATAAAAGTTTTCATTAAAAAAAAATGAATTATTAAATTGAATTTTCATCTTACGAGATTAAACAAATAGCTAGTATTAAAAAACTAAAACTTAATAAAAATAATCCAGCCATGCTACCAAGTGTAGCATTATAAACTTGTGTATAAAGAACACCACTAATAAATGGAACTGCATTGTCACAAACTAAAAATAAAAATATTTTTATCAATAACGTTATAGTATCAAGGAGTATTTAAGGATCAAGGTAATATATTGACCAGTACAAAACTTACCAGAAAGTAAAGCAAAAACTTTTCCTCTTTCTACAACCGGTATTATTTTTGATGTAAATGCTCTTAGTGCTGGTCCAGCAATTGGACCAAATGAACAAACAATACTACCTAAATAGAAAATAAGTGAGGTATCAGCAAAGAAATAAATAAGTCGTGCAATGGCATGTGCAATACATCCAAATAAAATTATGACCTTAAAAAAGAGAAAAAAAAATTGAATAAATAAAATATTTCTCAATTATAAAAATTTTTCAAATCTTATTACAGTATCTCTCCATTTAAAAATTTTATTCATAACTGGTACAGCAATGAATAGAACCACAATATAGGCTGATGATTGAAATGTTTTATAATTACTAAAATCTTGTACATCCCAACCAAATGTATGTTGTGTATGTAGAAACAGATATGCTTTTTCATCTCTTACAAATGTATAAAGTGCCATTGAGAATAGAATTAATATTAAAAATAATCTTCGGCTTTGAGTTCGACGTTTTGTTAATACTTTTATTGAATCGAATACATGTTGCTTATCGAAATAATCACGCCAAATTCCACAACATCCCAATTCTTTTAGAGATCGTTGTTTTGGATTACTTTGCCACTAAAAATAATAAAAGAGAAAATAATTTTGAAAATTTTATTAATTTTTTTATTTCGAAACTAACTTTTAATACTAAAAATGTGTAAAGAATTGCAGTCAATATCATAATGGCAGTTATTGCAAACATCCAACTAAATGATTTATTTAAAACTTTATGAAATAAATATGATCCTAGAGCAACTCCAGTTGGTGTTGTTATTAATGTTACAGCTTCTAAAATTGTAACACGAATTGTTCGACTTTGTAATGTGGACACATCTGTTATATATGCAAAACTTGAAGCAAATATTGCAATATCACCTCCCGTTAAAGAGCATGGTAAAGTTGCTGTATATATTACGTATTCTAGTGGCCATGATGCTACAAAATCAAAATTTTTGTTAAAATATAAAAGAAATACATATAGAATCTTAGAAATAACCTTATAAATGAAATTGTACATGTATTCATTAAAAAAACTAAACAAAACTTACGTTGATTTTCATTTATAATCATCATTACATAAAATATAAATTTTCCAGTTAATCCTAATAATAATGGAAGTTTTCTACCTCTTTTATCTGACCATGCTCCAAGAAATAAAGCCAATATTATAGGAAATATATGTGCAGCTATACTTTCATATTGAAAAAAATTTGAAGTTGTATGCTAAAATATTGGACGCATTACCGCTCCACTCATAATTGATTTCTTTTTAGAAATAAAACTTACTTGAACTTTTATATTAACTTCTTCATGATGTACAATATTATCACATATTTCAACTGTATAATTATGATTTACAAGACATGCTTTCCTTACAAAAAATGCCTGTTCAACAACTGATGTGAACATAATAGCAAACATGTAAAGAAACATTGTTGGTTCAATTGTTATAAGTTTACACCATTGTAAAATTTTTTTATACCATTTTACCTGAAATTTTTTTGGAAAACAAAAATTAGTTCACAAAATATGTAAGTGAAATTTTTGAATTGACATGAATAAAAGCTTACATTTGCCCAAGATTTAATTTACAAATTAAAAATTTTTCAGAAGCATAAACGATAATTGCCATTAAATAATATTTTTTTTTTCACATTTAAATTATAATAGAACGTTTATGTAATTAGCATTATTGTATATTTTATAGTTGAACATCTTTGAACTTGAAATAGCACAAAACTTTAACTCATTTCTATTAAAATGGCTGTCGGAACTGTTTAAAAACGACTGACAATAACCAGCTATGTCTGCATAATTATTTTATTCACTTAACTTTTGTTGAACAAATATTTTACACATAATACTTCAAAGCAAAATAGCACAAGCATTTTATATACGATGCTTAGGCAAGGCCCTGTTATTTAATTTTTGTAAAATTGAAAAAAAATTTTTGTTATAAAATGTTTGACCACACAATATGCATTCTCCTTTATTTTGATTCGAACATTTATTTTTTGATAAAATAATGAAACTAATGTCCTGGACTGAATAACAAGTCAGGTGTAGGACTATTAAAACAATAGTCAGTTCAGGACTAATGAAAAAATATTATCAAAGGATGTTGAGGAATCTTATCTGATTTAATAACGTCTATATATTTAATTGTTAAAAATGTGTGAACGATGTTTGATTTCCAAACCTCACTTTAAAATAATTTTTATAGAATTGTTATGTAACTGGCAACTGAAATGTGATAATTGAAGTGATGGAACACTATATTATGTAAACGGATTATATCAAATAAAAAACCTTTCGCATGTATTCAAAGGGTGTTTCTAAAAATGCCATTCTTAAGGTTATAGCTTTACATTTAATTTGTCCGTTAAGCTTTGTGCTGGCTTTGTGCCTCTAACGTTAAGAACAGCATTTGCAAAAAAATTCGAAAACTTAACATGGTCGGATTTTTCTTGTACAGCTTACATGATTTGAATTGGTTTTAGAAATAATTCAATAAATTTTAATCATAATTTAAAAAAAAAAAAAATTTTAATTTGAAATTTCATTAGGAGTCATATTGAGAAGCAGAATATTCCAATATCTTGATAATTAAAATCTGCATTGATATGTTAGATATACGACCTATGATGTACGCACATGGCAGAATACAACCAGACAAAGTACAATTACATATGTACAAGACAAAATCACTTTATTTCACTATAGCCAATATCTACAGTGCTATACACACATCAATAGTACTATACACATTGAATTTTATTATATTGGATATTATAATTAATTTAAATAAGATTAATAAGACACTTTTAATAAATTCACAATAATTAGAAAAACACACATACAACATTTTTCTAAAATATAAGCGAGACAATAATTTTTATTTTATATTTTCGTATATAAGTTTAAAAAACTCTTATATTGTTATACACAAATTCTTTTTCAAAAAAAATATTTATTGACAACACTTACAAGTGCTTCTGATTTACTTATTTTAAAATAAAATAATTAAAATTTAATTTTAAATTTTCGCGCTTTTTTTTTCAATTTGAAATTATAAATTTGTTTTAATTCCCGATGTTTTCTTAATGCAACTCTATAAAAGTAAACAAACAACAAAACAATGTTATGTTCGTCTCCCTACTGTTTTTTCTACATAATGTATAACACATTTTGTTTGTAAACAATTTGACATTTTAAAGCGTGAGAATTTCTACCAACACTATCATATAATGCGCACAACCACAAACACAAACATAAATATAAATACTAGTCTTTCAATTAGATAACATTGGGTAAAAAAAAAAATTCGATTTTTTGCTTAAGTAATCAAAAAAATTTTTTTTTAATTTTATGAATTAAGAAATCACTAAAAGGATTTAATTTACTTACCTCTATAATATCTGTAGACATTTTAAATTAATTTTAACAAAAAATAATAAAAATAAAATTAAATTTTTAAGATGTTTTGGATGAAAAATAAATTGATAAAAAAAAGTCTCGTATTTATGCTAGCTGTCGTCTTTCCATGATAATCTTAACCTAAAATGAAAAAAAAAATGTGAAATAAAATTAAAATGTTTACAAACGGATACAAAGCAAATTTTTGATGAGAGAAAAGAGAAAATTATAATAATATAAAGTGTTGCCGTTTATGTATAATAAATTTCATAGAACTTTAACATTTTAACTCTTAAAATTTTATTAAATTGATTAAACTAAATTTTCTTTTAAGTTGATATTAAAATGTGGCACTTGTTACTAACTATATTGGAGAGTGTTAACTGAGAAATTGTAGTGATAAAACTATTATTAAATAATAGGATATACATCAATCTTTTACTGGGCTCAAAGTGAGTTGCTTATAATTTTTGTTATTATGCCTTATGATGATTTAATTTGCAGTTGAATCAGCGTTGAATTAGCGTTTAAACTTGAGTTCAATATTTCATATAACGTTTTTATATAGTATGGCGTATGTTGAGTTAGCACAAACATTGTTATGAAACGACTTTATTTTAAGTGCTATTATAATAGTATTGGAATGAAATAAATAGGTAAAAGAATTTTTTTTATGAAATTTATGTAAAAAAAATATTAGAAAAAACCAAATTTACAAAAAATTTACGAAAATAACAAAATAAATACGAGATCTAACTATATACTAATATTAGAACATGCAATACATTTTTGATAATTTACTCTATTGAAGGAAAATAGTCCGTATGACTTAACTGTGCTACTCATAACAATTTCACTAAATTAGTTGAGTGCTTATAACTAAACTAGATTTACAACATTTATTTATAAAGTATAAGCGCAGTTTTCACTATACATATGGGGTTTTCGTTTATGCACGCTGCGTTGAAACTTCTACTTTAGAACTAAAAGTCCTAAGCCGTGGCGTAATTTTTTTTTTGTTTACGCAATCTACAAATTTTTGAAAGTTCTAAATAATCTTTTGTTTGAAAATAACAGAAATAACATTGTTTATGAAATTAAAATTTTTTTTGTATGTACTCGTAATGTGAATTTTCGAATGACCTACAAGCTAGAGTTATTCTATCAAAAACGAAACGAAAACCCCCATATACCTTGTTTATAAAAGTGCTTATTTATTTACTCCAAAATAAATTTCAACAGCAATACTACATAAAACAAGTATGTATTTTTATTAAAGTAGCGTTACATGTAGGTACATACATATGTACATATAAAGAGCCATTTATATTAAATGGTATATTCTCTGAAGGTCGTGAGATATATTTTCTTTGCGCAGTACAATATTAGTAGTATTTATTTAAACAACAATAACACAGACTAAAATATTATTTGAGTATAAGTATGTTTTAATGATTTGCGCAATAATTCAAATAAAATTGGGTAAAATCGTTGTCAAAACAATGAGAATAGGAGTAAAATGTATATTAAAGAGAAAAATTTAAAGAAAAGCACGTGCTTTTCTATTTCTCTTTTGAGAAATTTTATTTTGTTATTGTAGCACAATTTTTATTATGGAATGAATGATTTTATCCTGCTGACAACAATTTTATTAGATGATAAAATAATAAGTGTACGTATAACAGTTGAACATAACTGTTATATTAAGCACCTATCGGAAAAATATGTAAAATGATGACATATTCGACTATAGGCTACAATTTTTAATTAAAAAAAAACATTATTTATTTTAAAAATATTAATTAATTAATTTAACTATGAACATAATTATTCAATTTATAATAGTGGGAATAATTTATATGTGTTATATATTTAACACATATATATATTATATGGAACATTTTGCCCACCTATGTATGTACTTGTATTAAAATTTCATGTGATTTTAGCATTTATTCTACTTGACCTTTACAACGGTCCAATTTTACATTTTTGATCATTTTTAAGAACATATTAAAGAGATTAACTTGAAATTTTAAATTTTCCATAATAAATGTATTCTGGGAATTCGATAAGGCGCCTAGCTTTAGAACGAGTTTAGGTGTCTGTGACTGGACTTTTGCATTTGGTCAAAGAAATATTTATTAAATTTCTTTGAAATTTAATATTTTAACTCGAGGTTTTAAAACTCCGAAACTGAACTTTCGCTATAGGCCGATATTTCTCTTAAGAACCGATTGCCGAATTTTATATAAATTTAATATTTGAGTTCTATTTAATAACAGAACTAACCGGCAAATTGCGGTCGGTTATACACTCATAAAAATCATATTAGATTCAATAATTTACTAATTTAATATCGTTTACAAAATTAATAAATATATTTAATAATTTATTATACGTATAAGTGATTTAATTAATATTGTTATATTATTTCTGAAAGCACCAAAGACTTTTAATTTTTATCATACAATTTTATAAATTAATTTTGATGTTCATGTTTTTTTCTTTTAAAAAGCATAATTTATCAATTAAATTTTGAATGACCTTGCGATGTCATTGACTGTATTGTTTATGTTTACTGTTAAATAGATGTGTTCGGTTTATTAAAATAGCATCAATAATCTCTGATATCATGCATTAGTTCAAAAATATTCTGATTCTGTTTAAAAATAAAGTGCTACAATCTTATTTATTTAGTAATTTCCAGAGTAACAATTATTTGATGACTTCCAAAATGCAATGGCAACAAATAATTAATGTATTATTAATTATGCATTGTTATTAATTATTTGCAATAAATATTCAACAAAGATTTTCACTTTTTTAAAATCGAATCTTAATATCAATTAGAATGATTTTGATAGCACAGCACGCATGTAAATTCAAAATTATATTTTTTTATATTTATAATTCTATTGCTTAATTAATTTAATTTATTTTTAGTAACTATGTTTATATAATATATAATTTTATATTTCAATTTAATTTTATTTCAGTAAGTATACCTTTTTGGTAAATTCTGCAAAGTTTTCTAAGCGGCACTTAAATTATTAATTTTTAAAATCAAAACAAAATTATATAATTAATAATTAAAATAACAGCAGACTAATTAAAATTTTTCGATGAAGTTGCAAAAAAAAAAAATTAAAATATTGACGAATGCAAATAATAATTACGAATTTATAGACGCTTATTACAGATGAAACCGCACGAGACTTGTCGAGTAATGTAATTTATTTTTTCTTTTCTGTTTTCTTTATAAATTAATCTTATCAGTTAATAAAAAGCGACAAAAAATCGAGCACGTTAACCGTTATTTCAGAAATATTTTATTTTTCTGAACTGATCACTCCGAAACCGCTTCAAAGACTAATCAAAAATATATTTCGTTCTTTTGAGTATTTCTCAATTATTATTATTAATATTAAATGAATATGCGTACGTACATCTATACATACTTACAGATATCACTTTGTCAATTAATATAAAACATGTATTAATGAAATGTCTTTTTAATACTATGTGCAAATTTCCTCTCCTCTGCGTTTAAATTATCTAAAACTTGCAATCTCATTTATTTTCTTTTTTAATAACTTCATTGTTTATATTAAGGGCGGTATTGTGATTACCACAAATCGAAATTTCGAAATAGAATCGAAAGCAAATAAACTGTACATGTTTATATTGAAATGTTGGTCTGTGTGCAATTCAAATTCGACTAAACAAATTTTAAATACTATTGATATCCAAGTCGGATTCCAGTAACTGGATAATCAGTATATAGTGACCGGTTGGAAATTCAAGACAATAATAAAGAATACAGTTGCATCTTTACTGGGGTCATTACTAACCTGTATGTAAAGAAACATGCAGGACAATGAAAATTTACGAAATTTTTGAAAATTATCTTAGTCTTACAATTCCTGATAAAAAAAAAAAATTAAAATTTTTAAAAATTAATCTGTAAATACCTGTCAATTGCATGGCCAAATCGGCAATCTTACATTATTTATCATAAATAATGTCGTATAACAGCCTACACCTATCTTAATATTATTGGTGTTAACCTTTTATAATGCATTTTCATATTCTATCGCCAATTCTTATGTCAAACTGTACTTTAAAATTAACACTTTAAAATTAATTAGTTATGAAATATGATCAGTCATGTGTTGACCATATCAAAAATTTTTTTTTCATTGAGGTCTCGTTTATTAAGCTCTGCAGATTGTATTACTATATTTTCTATTTATTTTGATTGTTTAGTTTGACAATGGTATCTTCTTATTGAATGATCTCCGAAGTGGCTTGTAGCTATATATGTATATATTTTTTATTATACTTTTTCTAATACTATAATTATTGTTGATAAGAAAATTATATAGAGCTCTAAAATCTTTGCTTTTGTATAAGTTTTATTTTAAAATCTAAACAAAATTAGCGATAATTTAGGTTAAAATTACATTGTATGATATGCACATTTCTTTTCTTTTCAGTGATGATTAGGATTTGAGAGCATACACGATGCAGTTATGAAGAAGATCTTGATAAATAGTATTAATTTGTTTAATCAGTTGTTTTTCATAAATAAAATTCAAAGAGTTAAAATTGATTAAAATTTGGCTTAACTAGATGCTTACCTAAAAATTAATATGCTACGAAAAATATCCTTCTGGTCGTTAAATTCTCAATATTATAATAAATTAAATTCTTAGTATAACATTAAAAATGAGCAATTTTACTAAAGCCAGGAAAATATTTGGAAAAGCCTATAATAAATTCTAATTTGAAAGCGGCTATACAAAAGGTGCTAAAGAAGTAAGAGGTTGAGGCTATAGATTGAAACTCCTATATAGCTACAAAATTCTATTGATTATTTTTGTAATAAAATTTTCAAAATTTTTGTTAAACCTTTTATGATTTCAATAAAATTGGTAGCATTAAAATTATTAACCAAAAATTTGGTATATTTAAATTCTTAAATAGCTTTAATAATAAATTTTACAAAAATAACCTTTAGTTAAACTTTATTATTTAATTCTTGTGTAATTAATTTTAGAACATGCAAAACTATTGTACATTTAATTATCTTTCAAGTATACTTCAAAAGAATAATTAA